GCAGGCTGGCTGGTGTCTCCCTTAGGGATAAGGTGAGAAGTTCGGTCATCAGGGAGGGACTCGGAGTTGAGCCGCTCCTCCTTCGCGTCGAAAGGAGCCAGTTGAGGTGGTTCGGGCACCTAGTTAGGATGCCACCTGGGTGCCTCCCTAGGGAGGTGTTCCAGGCACGTCCAGCTGGGAAGAGACCAAGGGGTAGACCTAGGACCAGGTGGAGGGATTATATCTCTTCGCTGGCCTGGGAGCGCCTTGGGATCCCCCAGTCAGAGCTGGTTGATGTCGCCAGGGAAAAGAAAGTTTGGGGCTCTCTGCTGGAACTGCTACCCCCGCGACCCGACCACGGATAAGCGGGAGAAGATGGATGGATGGATGGATTAGAACTAAAGTCAGTCAAAATTGGACTTGCACGGATCAGAATCTAAGCAATACACCATTTTCCCAGCTCTGTAATGAAAAGGATAACAAGATTACAGGAGTGTTAAAACACCCAAACATGCACACTTATCTTATTCTAGTAGAGATTAGAGGACAAGGTCTAATGTTGTGAACAAAATTAGCAAGTCAAAGTTATTTTGTTTATTCTATGTTATGTACCTAATTTAATTTAATAATTAATCTTGAATTACTAATAACTTTAAAGAAGGCAACAATTTACAATTTGGATAAAGTGAATACTCATCCAAAGTGTGTGTGTGTGGGTGTGTGTGTGTGTGTGGGTGTGTGTGTGTGTGCTTGTCTGCCCAAGGTTTAAAACATTTAGGACAGCACAGCAGTGAGAATGTTATGAGAACCAATATGTTGTTTACACTAAACTCGAAGGGAGCTAGACTGGAACATTTTAAATAAATCAAAACACTTGCACATTAATTAAATACATTTGACATTTAGCTCGAGCTGGGTTCAATACTTTTCTTTATGGTATTTAAAATTGGGCTCGAGTAGAACCCCTGGATTTGGCTTGCAACACAAAAGTGATACTGATCTCTGTAGGACTTGGAAGTGTCATGATTCAAAGTGTGGGCCTGTGGAAGAGAGGCCCTTGGAAAACAACATCTATTTTTTAACTGTAATTACTTATTTTAAAGAGATTGCAACATTATACTTTTAAAGAATTGCTCAATTAATTTAACATTTATTATGCACACAATAAAAAACGTCAACAAATATATTGATCCTGGCTTCACCAGCGACCTTTACTCTGTTGTTCATAAGCTCGGTTTCAGAAAACTTGTCAGTAGTTTAACAACTGTTTTAATTTGAGTAATGTCTATGGAGACCAATTGGTTGATACGAGAAATAATTTGAAGCAGTTTAATAAAGAATGTTAAACTATTTTTAAAACTGTAATTGAACTTCAACTTATATTAATTATCTGATTCCAGTGGCCAGTTGGAACAGATAATCAACAAAGTTTCCATTTTGCAACAACAGGGCAAAAGTTTTCAACAACAATTAGTAGTCTGAGTCTAGTTCTGTCTTATCTGCTTTGTTTTGGAATGTGTTCAATACATTACGTTTTTATTCATTATTACCATACAATATATAGATTTAAGAATAAATTAAACAAATAATACAACATTGACCTAAAAAAACAGATTTTGCAACCCTGATCTCCTCCGGCAGGTCTCTGAGGGTCTCGGGGCGCAGGACGGGGCATACAAGGTCACAAACATATCTTAACATTCCAGCAATACCATTTAAGAATGGATTCTTAAAGCAATATAATCTTCTTTTCTTCTTACACCTAGCGCTCACCCTGAATAGGTTTACATTTTCCCCTGCACACTCAGAGGCAGGACATAAAAACACAAAACATGAACTCGTAATAAACACCAGCGTGACCTCAAAGCTCATCCAGCTCAATTTAGTCCGAATTATGAGGTTTCAGAGGGGGTAGGGAATTATCTCTAGTGGGGCACCTGACTCGCGCGTCCACCCTTGTACAAGTGCTAAGATCGTGCCTGAAGACCGTCCAAAAGCAATAACTAGCTTATCCTCTTGCGACAACCACTACTCCATCAGTGGCGCTATGAACCCCCGACCAGGAGAACATAGACTTTTTTCGCTACCCTTTCTCTCCAAAAATAGCCCAGTTAACTGTAGTCCTACTCGACCAGCCTATACACTTGCCATCGAGTTCATTTGCAACGATGAAACACAGTTTTGTTCTACACTCTGCTTGCCACTGCCCACCCGTGATCAATTAGCCTATAATTGTTTGTATGCACCCCGGACCGCCACCAGGTCCTCTAGCCATGTATAGGGAGCTGTGGCGCATCGGGTGATGCACGCATCTCGCGCTGCCCCGGCCTTGCCAGCAATGTAGAAGACGGTCACAAACAACGAATGCTTTTAGACCATTTCGTTTTTAATAGAGATGGCGGTGGTGTGAGTTAAAGTTATAGACAAAAGCTGTGACTTTCTCCCTCTCAGCTGCACAGCTCCAGCCCCACAAACACAGGGAGGTTTTACACACACACCCGAGCTTGCAGCTGGAGCCGTGTTTACAGAGGCGATGGCAGTAATATCTCTGGCTGCTTATTTTTAACTGCTGTGTTTGGCGGCTAAAACCCCCAGAATTTGGCGATTTGTCCAATACAAATCTTTTACATTGCTTTCAATTCACACAGAAGCTCCACTTCACTGATGCCTTTCTTTAAGGTCTCTTTAAACATGAGCTGTGTATGCTTGTATGACACTTCCGTCCCGAGCAGCACACACAGAGGAAATCAGCCAGGACTGAGTCCCCAGACACTGATTCCCTGGGTTTATTATCCCCAAATGTTCATTAACCAAAAACGAAACGCAGCCGCCCAGTTTCACAGGTAATTTTAGGATACCGTCAATCACAGATTCTGGTAAGGCAATGTCCAAATGTAGATTTAAAAATCACACTTACCAGCTCTGAAGATTTGTTGGTATCCTGCCGACAACGCCAAATTGTAAGAGAAACTTCTGTGTAGCAATGCAGTGGGAGTCACCGACTCAGGAAGGAGACACGGTAGAGCAGGAGCTTCGATGTCAAACACTGGAGGTTTATTTGGAGTTACGGCCGGAGGATTCACATCACAAGTCACAGCAGCCTATGTGAGACTGCACGGGTGGGTTGCCACGTCAATTCTGGAGCGCCTCTCTCTCGTTAGCCCATTTAACTGCTTTCACAGAGAGTAATCAACATATTTTGATAAGATAGTTTAACACACTGGGCACACTGAGTCACTTGCGTCCGTCACTTATGGCCTCGAAGATGTCATACCTTGGAGTCCACAAACAACAAAGAAGGAAGCGTCCCAGTGCACCCACAACAACAGAACATCTGTGACCTAGTGTTGACCGGTCATAGAATTGGAACAATAACATTATGGCTGAAGCAGCCTATGTCCTTAAAGGAGATAAACAGACGTCAGGGTTGGTCCTGTACGTCATATCTAGGAGTCTAGGTCAATAATTTCCCTAACACCGGGGAATCGTTACACGGAATAATGACCCCTTGTTTAAGCAGAGAGGTAAACACTGGCCCGAATGCCTTCAACAGCTTCACGTTTCAATGGGTACTGGGGTTGATTTGGACGGAACGTGGACTTAGGAGTGATAACTACAGGCTCCGCAGAGCGAATCAAACCTACATCATATTTGTGGGCTGCCCACAGTGTTTGAGGCACTGTTTTTAGCGCGTCAGGGAGCTCAGAAATATGACTGAAAAATGAGAACTCCGGGCCAGATGGGCCAGGAACGGGGTTAACATAGTCATCATTGCCTGTGAGAATCAGAGAACGCAGTACATGAACTGGCCAGTCGATGCTGTATTTAAACACGTCATGTGATGAAGAATACTTAATCAACGGGTCGTCTGTGCTAGTCCAATCAGTACTAGATTCCCAGTCTTTAACGATTGGACCCAAATCTCTCCATCTATCAGTGGGGCCCCTGGCTAGTGAAATGTGTGGGACCGCCCCTGGGATTTGATACAGCTTGTGTTGTGTGGGTGTGAGTGTAACAGAAACAGCGTTGCGCAGCGAATTCCAATACATAGTTTTAAGCATGAGCTCATCCTTCACACATTCTAACAGAAAACTCTCATCATAGTATTTACACGGTTCATCAACCACGTTAGCAGTACAATGCAAATGAGAAGTCTCCATGAACACAGCAGGTGGAAAAACACGTTGATCAGTCAAACGCAACAACGCCTGAGAATCAGGATATGTCAGCAGCCATTGGTACACATTCACCAGTTCTTTATCATCAAATGCGGGGTTTTGAACCATCGTAGGAGATGGCTGTCGGACTTTAAGACCCTCATTTGTGGAAAAATGAGGTCCAAGCCGAACCGGAGAATCAGATCTCTGCCCAGTAAATGTATTGGGCAGACAGATGATAAAAGAAAACTGTGTTTGACTGATGTGGGAAATGGATGACTGTCATCACCGTTATCTTTACACTGAAGTGATACAGAAAACTTCTCCTTCACAGTTACCCCAGCCGCTCCTATTGAGTGAATACATCTACCACTAAATTTGCAATCAGGCAAATCTGTCATTTTTACCACAGAATGTGTAACCCCATAATCAACCAAAAATGTAACATCAACACCCATGATAGCTAAAGTTAGTGTGGGACATTTCTTAAATGCTGTTTCACTGTCATGTATCAATATGTACCCTCTTTAACCACAGACATGTCTTCTAAATTGTCCAATTACTCAATAGCATGATGTGTGTGTGTGTGTGTGTGTGTGTGTGTGTGTGTGTGTGTGTGTGTGTGTGTGTGTGTGTGTGTGTGTGTGTGTGTGTGTTTGTGTGTCACTTCCCTGTTCAGATGCTGCTGGCTGAATTTCTGTCTCGCTCGATTGGGCCCCTTCCTCCCCATCTGGTGTATTTCCGTCTGATTGTGAATGGCCCCGTCCTTGCTGTCCCCCTCTGCCTCCGCCACCAGTGTTCTGTGAGCAGTCCCGGATCCAATGTTCAACACTGCCACACTTGAAACATCTTTCGTCGTTTGAAGGTCTTGCTTCTCGTCCTCTGCCTCGGAAAACCTCCTCTGCCTCTCCCTCGGTATTGTGAGCGGCCAGCATTCTGCGTGGCTTGCACTGTGGCTGTGAGTCCGTTGAGGAAGGCATTACTGAGGTGTGTTTCCCAAACGCCTGCTTGGTCTCCTAGGGCATCGGGTTTGTTTATCCCGCTGTTGTCCCGGAATACTTGGTCCTGATGGGGGTGGACGAGCTTGGAGTTGACGGGGAGTCTGTTGACTGCATGGCTGGGGCTTGTAGTGGCGAGGGAGGTGGTTGAGGTGGGCCAGCCTGCCAGGGTTGTACGCCGGGGGAGGGAAAGGATACCCAAAGTCGAGGAGAGGGTCATTCAGGCCTGCAATGGAAGGATACAGAGATGTCTGGGGTTTACATGGTTTTGGAAATAATTTATTTTCCTTCTTTCCTTCACATTCATCTTCAACCTTAATATTTCCTTTAATGCACGAGGCCAACTGCCTTCTTTCACGGCACTCTGCTTCATCCTCCCAGTATTTTAAACACTTTCTGTGAGTGTCCAGCTTTTCTAAGTCTTTAACTTTAATTGTATTTTTAATTTACTCAAAGAACCTCCCTTTGGAAATCCGAACATTTCCATCCAGATATTTAATTTAGACAGACTGTTTTCACCATGTTTTTCTCGCATGACATCCAGAATTTGACCCTCAGGAGGGTGTACTAGCCCCCCACTCTGCTTTGCGTTCCATAACAAGTCTTTAAGTGTTAACTCTAAACACCCCGTGTTATCAAACACTATTTTTCACCCGTCGGTGATGTGATATTTGTTCCTCAGTACAAATCACACAAAAACTGATCGTAAACCCAGGCTACGACGGATATCCCAAATATCCTACTTTTGAGCAGTCCCTCTCATAAATGTCATGGAGTTTAATCACGTTTAACTTTAAACAATTTAGACACTGTACATCTCACCGAGTATTGAAAGCCTTTTGAGTTCGTTGGATCTTGTGAAGTCAATCGGTTCCACCCCGGCGCTGGTCCTCTCGTCCCGTACGGTTTCTGTCGAGGTAGAGGAGAATCCGAGGATCCTGGAGCGCAACCACCAGCGTCCGTAGGTGTCCCCAATCGAACTTGCAGAGATCCTGCCGACAACGCCAATTTGTTATGGAAATCATAGACCCAGTCAATACTGTGGAGATACACAAGTCAGAAAGATCAACAATAAATGGTGAAACAGACAGAGTTGTCTTTCTGGTTATTTATTTGAAGCTTCAAAGACACAGGTCTCACAGAGTATAGGATAGTCTGCAGGAGTGTGCGCAATAGTAACAAAATAGCAAAGCTTATATACAAGAAAGGGTGGGCAGACAGAGTTTGCTCAGAAATCTGCTTTCACACAGTCTCATATTGTTATTAGACACCTGTCCTTGAGCTGTAGATAGTATAACGGTTCTCAGAATATGGAAGTTCTTGTGTGACTTTGTGTGAAGAGGAGTAGTCTCAACATAGTCTGCCAAATCAGCTCTGTGGCCTTGAAGCGCTTGGGAATAAAAACCCTCATTAGAGTATGCAGAGAAAACAGCACATATCAGGAAAATGGTACAGTAGTTTTAGACAATGTTTTTAGAAGCATTTGGTTTTAGCATATAAGGTAAGATAAATAAATTGCCACTACACATGGGGGTTTAAATTGCCATGCCTCTTTTTGGCTTTCGAGCCCGTCTCAGGATTAATGCCCAGGAAGCACCTGAAAACAATAAGCCAAGACAACAATTTCAATTTTACATAGATTTATATGTTGCATTGTTTATTTTAAGGCACGTGCCCCTTTCAATTTAAGTAAAACCTGCACCAAAGAAATAAATTAGTATTTAAAGCCAAGCAAGAGCGATAAAAGCAAGAAAATCACATAATTTGTTTGTGTTATCACAGAGGATGGTCTGAATACATTTTTGTACTGTGAAATAATACAGTAACATGTTGTGAAATCCTGGTAATCATTTATCCTGTATATTCACAGTAAGTAACTGTGCCTGCATTGATTTCACTGTGAAATTCAAAATTACAGTATTATATTGTGAACATCACAGGTAAAGACTGTAAAGTGGTAAAACAGTAATTTATTGTAAAATATTATAGCTAAATATTGTGAAATCATGGTAATATTTTACAGTGCACATAAACATATGCTCACACATCCATACCAACATACATACATGCCCGCACATAATTTAAATACAGTTTACAATATAAAAAACACAGGGATGATATTTTGCATCTCTGATGTCGATCAGTTAATAAATGAATAAAACTATTAAAAAGTAGTGCAGTTGCAAGTTGTAACTGTGTGTGTCCTAGTTCAGCGTTTGACGGTGTTCAGTTCTCGTATGGCTCTGGGGTAGAAACAGTTTTTCAGTCGGTTTGTCCTTGATTTAATTCACCTGTAGCGTCTAGCGGAGGGCAGAAGAGCAAACAGGAAGTGTCCAGGGTGTGAAGAGTCTGCAATTATGTTGCCTGCTCTGTTGAGGCAACGTTGGCTGAAGAGTTATTATTACATTACTTTACTACATTGCATTTAGCTGACGCTTTTATCCAAAGCGACTTACAATAAGTACATTCGACCAGGAAGACACAACCTTGAAGAAAACAGAATCATATAAGTACATCAGGTTTCATAGAGCCAAACATTTCAAGTGCTACTCAACTGGCTATAGATAAGCCAGTCCTTTATTAGTATATAAGTGGTTTGTTAATAAATCTATCGCTCGAAGTGGAGTCGAAAGATATTCATTTTCAGTTTGCGCCGGAAGATGTGCAAGCTATCTGCTGTCCTGATGTCAATGGGGAGCTCATTCCACCATCTTGGAGCCAGGATAGCAAACCCACGTGTTTTTGCTGATGGGAACTTGGGTCCTCCTCGCAGCGAGGGTGCAGCGAGTCGTTTGGCTGATGCAGAGCGTAGTGCACGCACTGGGGTGTACGGTTTAACCATGTCCTGGATGTACGAAGGGCCAGATCCATTCGCAGCATGGTAAGCAAGTACCAGTGTCTTGAAGTGGATTCTAGCAGTTACCGGAAGCCAGTGAAGGGAGCGGAGGAGCGTGGGAAAATTTAGGAAGGTTGAAGACCAGACGAGCCGCTGCATTCTGGGTGAGCTGCAGAGGTCGGATGGCACATGCAGGTAGACCAGCCAGGAGGGAGTTGCAGTAGTCTAGGCGTGAGATGACGAGAGCCTGGACCAGAACCTGCGTCGCTTTCTGTGTCAGCTGGGAACGTATCTTCCTGATGCTGTAAAGCGTGTATCTGCAACAACGGGTTGTAGCAGCGATGTTTGCAGTGAAGGACAGGTTGTTATCTAGGGTCACACCCAGATTCCTTGCAGTCTGAGTCGGGGAAACAACTGAGGTGCCGATGTTGATTCTTAGGTCAAGAGTGGGACAATCTTTTCCCGGAAGGAAGAGCAGCTCAGTCTTGTCAAGGTTGAGCTTCAGGTGATGAGCAGACATCCACTGAGAGATGTCAGCTTGACAAGCAGAGATGCGTGCGACGACCTGGGTCTCTGAGCGGGGAAAGGACAGAATTAATTGGGTGTCGTCAGCGTAGCAGTGGTATGAAAAACCATGCAGGCTAATGACTGATCCGAGCGAGTTTGTGTACAGGGAGAAGAGGAGGGGACCAAGAACAGAGCCCTGAGGGACCCCTGTAGTTAATTGACAAGGGTCGGACTCCGACCCTCTCCAAGTCACCCTGTAGGTACGGTCTTTGAGGTATGAGGTGAGGAGGGAAAGTGCAGAGCCTGAAACTCCAAGTTTTTGGAGAGTGCGAAGGAGGATCTGATGATTCACCGTGTCGAATGCAGCAGACAGGTCCAACAGGATGATGACAGAGGAGAGGGATGCTGCTTTGGCAGTGTGCAGTTCCTCAGTGACAGCAATGAGAGCAGTTTCTGTGGAGTGACCTGCCTTGAAACCAGACTGGTGCGGATCCAGAAGGTTGCTCTGATGGAGATAACAGGAGAGTTGTTTAAAGACAGCGCGTTCAAGTGATTTAGACAGGAACGGGAGTAGAGAGACAGGCCTGTAGTTTATAACATCTGACGGGTTGAGAGTGGGTTTCTTTAGGAGAGGGTTTACTCTTGCCTCCTTGAGACTGTTTGGAAAGTGACCAGAAGTTAGAGAAGTGTTAATGAAATGGGAGAGAAATGGTAGAATATCAGGAGCGATAGTCTGAAGGAGGTTTGAAGGGATAGGGTCCAGAGGACAGGTGGTAGGGCGGGCAGAGGTAATGAGGGTGAGAACCTCACTTGGAGAGAGAGGGGAAAAGGAGGTTAGTGTGTGGGTGAAAGGAGGGTCTGGTGACCCAGCGGTGAGTAAAGGTGAGTCAGAAAAAGAAGAGCGAATATCATCAACCTTTTTTTCAAAGTAGGTAACAAAGTCGTTTGACAGAAGTGAGGAGGGGGGAGGGGCTTTTGGAGGGTCCAAGAAGGTGGAGAAGATGGAAAATAGTTTTTGGGGATTGGAATAGGAAGATTGGATCTTATCTTGAAAGAAAGTGCTTTTTGCCTGAGAGATCGAAGCAGAGAAAGAGGAGAGGAGAGCCTGATAGGTTAGGAGGTCGTCACAGTGTTTGGATTTCCACCGTTTCCGCTCTGCTGCCCTAAGGATGGTTCTATTAGCACGCAGTGCATCATTTAGCCAGGGAGCAGGAGGGGACTGACGAGCCTGCCGAGATGTGAGAGGACAGAGAGAGTCCAGAGTGGATGAGAGAGTAGAGAGGAGAGTTTCTGCAGCAGAGTTTGGAGGTAGTAGTTGGAACGAGTCCGAGGAAGGGAGGGCTGAGAGCACCGATGAGGCAAAGGTAGAGGGGGAGAGGGAACGAAGGTTACGGCGGACAGGTGCAGGATGAGAAGAGATTAGTTTGTTATGTTTGGAAAGGGGTAGAGAGAATGAAATGAAGAAGTGATCGGAAGTGTGGAGCGAGTTCCTCCAGAGAAGGCAGTGAGCAGCCGATGACCTTCTGGGCTGTGTTGATGACCCTCTGAAGGGCTTTCCTGTCCTTTTCTGAGCAGCTGGCACACCACGTGGTTAGGCAATATGCCAGCACACTCTCTATGGAGCAGCGGTAGAAAGACACCAGAAG